GCAGAACTGTTGTGTGTCTCCGGGCAACACACAGCGGTGTTTCGTTCAGTGTTGCCAACTAATTTTCAGGGGAAGTTGCTAAAGGAAGGTCAATTTGTTGCTAAAAGTTGCTAAATGACATGGTGATGTCATTGCACGATGACATTATTGCGTAATTATGACGCAAAATTACGTCAAATCTCAGGTAACAAATATTTTTTGTGTTAATTTAGATTTGTTCATAAAATAATATAACGTAATATAATATTAAAATATAAATAACTATTTTTAAATACAACTTTGAATTATTGAACACTTACATTTTTGAACAATTACAATTAAATTTTTTGTATTATTAGCTAGTAAACTAGTAAAACTACACATTCTGAACAATTATAGTGTTAAGCAGTGTATTAGCAGTTAGTTAGTATAAAAATAGGGCACAATCTACTATGTTAATATGAAGGAATTTTCCGTATTGATTTTTCACAGGTTTTTTTTCCCTGCATTTTAAATTACGCATTGCATTTTGTGTTTTTGGGTTACAGGGTTACAATGGATAATGAATAATGGATAACGGATAATGTCCTGGAAAATAACTAATACCTTTTTCCATTTTTCTAGATATTTTTCTTACAGTGTACTAACTAGGGTTGCAAAATTCCCGGGATTTTTCAAGACTGGAAATTTTCCATGGGAATTAACGGGAACTGGGGACTTAAATGTAGTTGAGAAAAAAGTCTTGCAGCATAATCTTGGTTAAAACAACCAGATTTAATGCAATTTCAGTTTAATTTCTACCCTACACATTGCTCAATCACATGCACAGAGCACACTGCTTACTGCAGGGCTATTGAGGCCACACTGATTATGTTTAAAACTTCCTTGTGCTGTGTGTAATATACTGTGCAACTAAATTAGGCTATACCATTGTAAAAACAAATACACTGACTGAACAAACATTTAGGTGAGATAATAATAAAACAAAAGTCTAAAAATGACCCTCCCCCACACACAATCCCCTCTAGTCACCTAAAAGGGGGATTACCCTCCATTTTCTCTGAAGCCACACTTGCTGCATTTGAGCCCAAAAATATGTAAAACATTAATCTTATAAAATTATTTATGCATTTGAAATTGTTCAGTGTAAATGCATTTATGGCACCTCAGCTTTATCAAACTGTCTGTGTAAATGCATCTAATGCCACTTCAGATGCAGCTTGATGACATCTGTTTTGTTACATACAGCAACTCATTTTAAGTTAACTATTTCTTCCTCTTTCCAGTCACAGAGCACTTTATTTTGAGAGTTGTTTAAGTGAGAGAAAATCTGTAACTTAGTCCAGATTGGGGGAATTGTAATGTTTAATAATTTATTTTATTATGTAAATACTTTTTGCATTGAAATTTGCATAGACTTTTGTTTGTATATGCTGTCAATTATATTTCTTAGAAAGAAAATCGGAATGGGCAAAAATCGGTATCGGCAGGTCTCACTTCCCAAAAATCGAAAATCGGAATCGGCCAAGAAAATTGCAATCGGTGCATCTCTAGTCTTCAGTATAGCGTTTATGTTACTCATAATTGATTTATATTGAGGTATTAGTATTGACAGGAAATCAGATCAGAAGCTTAAACCAATACTAATAATAATAATAAAAAGTTATCTTTTACATATGTCTTCTACTTTCCTTATTGACATTCTGGTATCAACAGATACAATCTTATAATTGTGTTACAAAACCATGTCCAGACAGAGAAGCAAAGGGCAGCCGTTTGCTGAAGGACAGGTCAACAGACTCATTTATCGACCGGCCCCATCGCCCCAAACAAACACAGATTTGTCATTTCACCCCATGGAGCTGCAGCTACTCCATGTAATAAGAAACCCTCTACTACAGCGTAGTGGGCTTTCACCCTAGCTTCTAGCTCAATATACGGTTACGCTTAAAGTATCCTTGGCTTGAAGCGGATATAGCCTACTCTCTCTACCTTACACCAGCCTATACAGTCCGGTCCAGATAGGCAGCTGTCACAAGGTGTACTCTAATTACACCCCTTTGTGTGCTATCTAAACAGTCACTGCAGTAGCTGGGCTGTTACACTAGCTATTAGGGTTGTCAAATCGATCACGATTAATTGCATCCAAAATAAACATTTGTGTTTACATGATGTGTGTGTGTGTGTATATATATATATGTATGTGTGTGTGTGTACATGTATATATTTAAGAAATATATGATTTATATATATATATATATATATATATATATTTATTTCTCAAATATATACATGTATGTGTGTGCATTTATATATATACATACCGTATATACACAGTACACACGCATATATTATGTAAACACAAACTTTTATTTTGGATGTGATTAATTGTGATTAATCGATTTGACAGCCCTACTAGCTATACATCTATTTTTACTGTTTTAAATATATAGCCAACACAAATGACTATTTCATGTCCATTTATTTATTTATGGTAAATAGCTATGTTTTGATCATTGTTTTGCGATAATGATGGCTGACTGTACTGTACACAAATGTATCTCGTACTTATACAAAAGACAATTAGTGAAATTAATGAATGTTTTAATGCTTTAATGAACGCAAGAACATCTGCCTTAAAAAAGATGTAGTTCTTCCAAAAATTTAAATTCTGTCATCATTTACTATATCAATTGTATCATTCCAAACTTGTACGGTGTTATATATTTTTGGAAATCTTTTTTTGTCCATACAATGGAAGTCATTGGTCACCAAAACTTTTTGGTTTCCAACAATTTTCAAAATATCTTTTTATTTGCGTTCTGCAGAAGTCAGGTTTGGAACAACATGAAAGTGAGTGAATGATGACCATTTCCATGTTCGTGTGAACTATCCCTTTAACTCTTAACATGGAAAACTTAAAAAATTTATTATTGGCCGAGAAATAGTACAGAATCAGATCCCAGTGTTCTAAGACTTTAAGACACTGTAGGATTTCTCTCTCTTTCTGTCCATCACTACTTTATTCTTTCTTTCTTTCCAGGACATGGACTCTATGTGGTACTCCTGAGTATTTGGCTCCAGAAGTGATCCAGAGTAAAGGTCATGGTCGAGCCGTGGACTGGTGGGCTCTGGGTATTCTCATCTTTGAAATGCTTGCAGGGTAAGACGAGACTATGATCACCTCCTGTTTACATTTTACACCAGCGATTTCAAACAGGAATCTGTGTAACCCTGGAAGTTTGTAGTTTACTTCAGGGGCTCCACAGAGATGTATAAAGCAGACTTTAATAAATTTATATTACATATTTTAGCAGTTTAAATGAAAATGAGCTAATGACCTGATAAGCGTTGTATAATGTTATTACAAAGTTTTACCAATAATATCTATAATTGTATTATTGGGAGTGACTGGGTTGGTTGAGAGTCTGAAAACCCCTGATTTACAGTAAATCAACGGAATTTCCATCTTTTAAAAATTAATCTTGTGTGTGTTTGTGAAAAAAGGGGGAACTTCAAATCCTATTTTATGACAACTGTTTTCCATGTATAATTTAATTTTAATTTCTAATGGCTACTTGACCAAAACCAGTCATGAAGAAAAATAACACTTGCTATTTCACCTTGTATGGCTCAAGATTGTATTTGTATTGGCGTGTGGTCAGGAAAGATCAGCTATTGTCAAAGATACACCTCTAGAGGGCAGCAGTAGAATATGAGACACTGAGTTCTGCCAAAGGCCCAAACCTCCATGTGCATGTCTCAAAACATATGGCCTCTTTTAGTGCTGCCTTAATATTCATCCTTATTATGATATTTATGCTTATTTGCCTAGACGTATATTCTGTTTAGTGTGCACAAACTGGCATCTTTAATATGCACAAAGATAATCTGCTCACATTTACAGTATCTCAGGGGGCAGATGCGTTTCTTGGAATAGATCTTGTTTACAAAAAGATTACAAAAAAGATTGTAGTGTATTTCATCCAAACTGCTCCATTTTCCCACCTGCGTGTCGCTGACTCGAAATCTGCCCTACACTCTTAAAAATAAAGGTGCTTCAAAAGGTTCTTCAAGCGATGCCATAGAAGAACCATTTTTGGTTCCACAAAGAACCATTCAGTCAAAGGTTCTTTAAAGAACCATCTCTTTCTTACCTTTTTGTAATCTGAAGAACCTTATTTCGCCACAAAGAACCTTTTGTGAAACAGAAAGGTTCTTCAGATGTTAAAGGTTCTTTATGGAACCATTTAGACAAAAAGGTTCTTCTATGGCATCGTGAAGCACCTTTATTTTTAAAGTTTTAAAATGAGTGTAGAGCTTTCACAGGCTCTCGTGTGGAGGAAAATCTGACCCACCCTCTGCATTCATCCCAGACTTCTATTGAAGTGTTGGCTTCTGCATGTGAGTGAGAGAAAATTACCTTTTTTCAAGAGACGGACACACAGACATGGGCTCAGCTTGCCCAGACATACAAAAGCTCCCTTCAGTCATCTCTGGGACCCTGGGTGTGCTTGACCGTGTATGTCAGAGGTCATTTGAGACTCCTTTGCGGGAAATGTAGCAAGAGCTGAAATGGCTCCTCCAGGACTGGGCCATGGCAACCTCGACGTAGTGACTGTGTATGTGGATGTGAGCAAATGTCTTGTTGGTGCTATTCTATTTCAGACCTGACTATGTGTAGGTACAAAATGTCAAAAACGTATTTTATAATTGCACTCAAAAGACAAAATGGTTCACAAACAGAGTAAAAAAAAAAAATGATGTGTTGTAGATTGAGATATGGTCAGACGCTTCACGTGTCTGGGGTGTGTGAGAGAGAGAGGTTGCATTTATGCATACTTGAGATAAACTTACACTCAGATCATAAGGGGGTCCATAGGAAATGACACACACTGCTTCCTCTGAGGGTTCAAGAGAAAACTCTAGACTTACTCCATGCTTTCTAGAGAGATCACCTCCTTGATTAGCTTCAGAGTTCATGTAAATTTGATGTACATTTTCTCCATTGGTTTTAATGTAAATGGCAACTCAGTAAAATAGGTTTTGCTTTTTTATATAAAATTTGCTTATAACAAAAGTTTTTTTTTTTTCTTAATTACAAAATATCTTACCAAATATATCACTTAAATGATGACCGGAGTATTTTAATTACAAAAACCTATTGTTTTAACAAGGTTGTTTATATATATATATAACACACAATTACTCATCATTCTTACATGTACATTTTTGGTAAAGCTTTAGAATAGGGAACACTAATTCACTTTTAACTACGACTTTTCCCTCAATAAACTCCTAATTTGCTGCTTATTAATAGTCTATAAGGTAGTTGTTAGGTTTAGGTATGGGGTCGGATTAAGGGATCTAGAATAAAGTCATGCAGAATAAGGCATTAATATGTGCTTTATAAGTACTAATAAACAGCCAATATGCTAGTAATATGCATGTTAATAAGCAATTAGTTCATAGCGAGAATAGGTCCTTAAAATACCACATTTTAAAAACATGTCTTTGTACATCCACCCAGGTACTACAACAGGCAACAAGTTCATTTACCAAAAGCAGAGTTCAAAAACAGCTGTATGGAGTATAACAGAATTGAACAGAATGCAACGGTCTCAAGACACATTTTTCAAAGTGTCTTAAAAATACTACAGTCCAGTGCTAAAGGTACTAAAAGAGCAAGACACAATGCATAAATAAATGTTAGTCTGCATGTGTACATATTAGCAATTTAAAAATATCCGAGATAGAACTCAATAATGCATCCTGTGTTATCGGACAGCTTGACTGATTGAAATTTAGGCAAGTAGTAGGCTTGTTCAAACATAGAGAAATAAACAACATATTGATATTCTAAACATATTGAACATATTCTAAAGCCACTTGCAATGTCTATTTAAAGATTTACTTGTCTGCCACAATAATTTATTTTCTTAGCAAATAGCAATAAATTGATTGATAATTGATTGACTAATATAAGTTATTTTTGATTAATTAACCAGCAAATCGTGTCATCCGTGTAATTTGATTTCAACTTTCTTAATCCATTTGCAGTGTTAGTTATAATGCAATAGTTACTTCAAGAGTTCAAGAGCACACTTTTAAAAGTTTCTTGGTTTTTGGTATTTTTTATTATTATTATATTTTTCTCAGTGGAATCTTGGCAACACCTGTGCTGTTATGTAAAAGTTTCAGTTTCATAATTCTCCTTTTTTCCCCTGTCACCAGCCACTGCTTACAGTAACACTATAGAGACTAATATGTCTCTTCTGCTTTCTTTCTCCTTCTCTCCATCTCTCTTTTCCATCACCCACGAGAAGGAGTAGCTGCACATTCTCCTCTCCTGGCTTCTCTCTCTCGGTTTATGGTTTCCACATTCAGTCAGTACTGTCAGTCCTGGTCAATCCATTATGTGGAACCACCTTATTTTACTTCTTCCAGAAGGCCGCAGCTAGAGGTCTTTAATAGGATAGAAAATCCTGTCATCATTTACTCACCCTAATGTCATTCCAAACCTGTATGACTTTCTTTCTTCAGTCAAACACAAAAGTAGATGGTCTTCTTTTCCACTCAATGGAAGTATATGGTGGCCAGGCACTCTCAGGCATCAAAAAAATAAAAAAATAAAAAATTATAACAGTAATGTATATGACTGAAACAGGGCTCACTCATATTTGTGAAGAATTAATGGTTCAAGTTTGATCTAGAATAAAGCTACGTATTAAAGGAGACATATTATGCCCCTTTTTACAATATGTAATATAAGTCTCTGGTGTCCCCAGAATGTGTCTGTGAAAGTTCAACTCAAAATACTCCACAGATCATTTATTATATCATTTTGAAAATGCCCATTTTGAGTGGAAGCAGAAACGCACTGTTTTTCGTGCCTGTCTCTTTAAATGCAAGGGACGGTAATATTATAATGAGAGTGACCGTATTAAAGGAGACATATTATGCCCCTTTTTACAATATGTAATATAAGTCTCTGGTGTCCCCAGAATGTGTCTGTGAAAGTTCAACTCAAAATACTCCACAGATCATTTATTATATCATTTTGAAAATGCCCATTTTGAGTGGAAGCAGAAACGCACTGTTTTTCGTGCCTGTCTCTTTAAATGCAAGGGACGGTAATATTATAATGAGATCCCTTTGCCACGTCACCAAGGGAGCGAAATCAGACGTGCTTGTTTTCTCAGACGCTTGCAGAAAAAGGCTTACCAAAACAAAGTTACTGGGTTAATCTTTTCCACGTTTCCTTGGTTGGTAGATGCACCGGGGACCTGATTATAGCACTTAAAACCTGGAAAAGTCTGATTTTCATGATATGTCACCTTTAAATCTAAAAGGAATAGTTCACCCAGAAATCAACATTTGCAGAAATTGTACTCCCCTCAGGCCATCCAAGATGTAGATGAGCTTGTTTCATCATCAGAACAGATTTGAAGAAATAATTTGGAGGGAGAGAGAGAGAGAGAAGAAGAAAAAAGCATTACATCACTTGCTCACCAATGGATTCTCGGCAATGAATGGGTGCCGTCAGAATGAGAGTCCAAACAGCTGATAAAAACATTACAATAATCCACAAGTAATCCGCAGTCCATCAATTAACATCTTGTGAAGTGAAAAGTTGCATGTATGTAAGAAACAACCAGTACTGTATAGTAACTCTAAAATATGAGTCCTCTATCCGTAATATTGCTTTCTCTAGTGAAAAAAGGAGAGAAATGTGCACAGATCAAGCACCATTTACGAGTGAAAACAGTCCAAATCAGTTATGAACAAATATGTTGGTGGATTTTGATGTGAAATAATTATGTTGTTATGGATTATGGGCTCATATTTTAGCCAGAAGCAACGGTTTAAAGTTAAAATGCCTTAATTATAGATTTGTTTATTGTAAACACATAGCTTTTTGCTTCACAAGATGGACTAGAGACATGTGGATTACTTGTGGATTATTTTGATGTTTTAATCAGCTGTTTGGACTCTCATTCTGACGGCACCCATTCAGTGCAGAGGATCCACTGGTGAGCAAGTGATGTAATGCTAAATTTCACCAAATCAGTTCCCATGAAGAAACAAACTCATCTACATCTTAGATGGCCTGAGGGTGAGTACATTTTGAGCACATTTTAATTTTTGGGTGAACTATTGCTTTAAATAATATGTTTTTGCGGTCATTCGGGTAATACTCTTTTAAGCCGTCACACATTTGTCCTCCCCGTTGTGCAACTCTGCGGTAATGGCTTGTTCAGTGTCAGTCACTGCAGGGTCTTTCACTCTATATTTTGCTGCTGATTTATGTCTCATCATCTCATCTTCACTGTTGACACTTGAGTTCCATCATTGTCAGTGATCTGCGCCCTCATGGGGTTTCAGGTGGCCGCCTAGTAACAGGCTCATTAGCATCTCTCACCTTATTTATCCCTCATAGTCAGCGATTCTTTTCAGTGGCAGCTAGATGCAGGCATTAAAAAAGCTCATTGAGAGTGCAAGGATGTTTGATGGCATGTTGGTCGAGGCTGGAAGTCTAATGGAGGAGTAATGGATTACACAGTATGAGCTGAAGAATCGCTCTACCAGACATTAGAGAACACACATCAGATGGACAAAAAAGGGGGGTAGAAACAACATTATACTGAGACACAGTAAACAGTAGTCATTTAGAGGCCTAAATGACACCTTCCCCCCTTGTAGTCCTCCTCCAGTGGTGCAGACCCGGGATGCGTCTGTGAACTTCACACCTAAAAGTGATGCTAAATACAAAAGAAAATAAGCGATCTGTTGTTATTGAATTATTCTGAGTCTGTATTAAATTTGCACTCATATTGAGTCGAATATTGGCTTTTTTATGCCATCTAATTTAAGTTTGATTTTTGATGGCTTAAGTCACAGTTGTGTTTGTCTGCGTCTGTGTCTGTAGCTTCCAGTTCTGGTCTGGATATGAATCATTGCAGAGGTTTTTATAGGACTAAACTGACAGGACTAAGCCAAAGATAAAGTATGTGTATTAGTTTTTGGCATTTCAGCAGATCTTTATTGAAATCAGCTAAACTGTCAATAAGACGGATTACACTAGTATATATCTTTAAGACTTTTCCTGCTCTGTGTCATTTTGACACATTAATTGTTTTGTTTTTTTCCCTCTCTATCTAAGGTATCCACCATTTTTTGATGATAATCCCTTTGGCATCTACCAGAAGATCCTGGCCGGAAAGCTGGAGTTTCCGCGGCATCTGGATTTCTATGTAAAGTGAGTTTGATAAAGAAAACACAACTGAATGACACGTGCCATATTTATAGCATACATAAAACACAAAGTATATTGCAATCATGTTAGCATCAGCATGAAATATTGTTTGATCTCAGACTTAAACTTATGTGTGTGGGGGGAAAGTGCAAGTCTTTTTACTGCTAACTAAAAGTGATAAAAGTAGTTTTTTTTTTTTTTTTGTAATAGAAATAAATCTGAAAAAAAAAGATTCAGGTTTTATTTTTAGATTTAAAAAATATAAGGTGAAAAACTATATAGCTATAAAGCTTCAAAAGATTAAATGAAGGTTAGAAATGTTGCCTTCACAACTTACTGAAATAAAATAAGTTGAAGTACTAAAATTGCTCAAATTGAAATAAAAATAAAGCTGAATTGAAATATTTAAGAAGATCTAATAAAAACAACAAAAGCATATAACACTTACTAAAACTAACAGAAAATATAACTGTAAAAGTACTATTGTGTTATGTAAATAATGCTAAAATAACACTGGTAAAAAACAAAAATACATAAGTTTAGGCTATTTTTTTTATCGTTTCTATCATCCCTCCTGCAAAAAATATATTAAAGCTGCAGTCCGTAACGTTTTTTGGTAAAAAATTATCCACAATCAATTTTTGAGCAAGAACATAACTTGCCAGTGTACAAAACTCCTTATTTTAGCCTGATTCACATCGGTAAGCTTGTAATAATGTTTTATAATTTGAGTGGTACTGGTAGGTTTTTGTGGGAAATCTGAGTATGGCGCTGCGTCATTAGGTCACGTCTGTACACATAAAGAAGAAGTACCGGCCAGTAGGCTATATCGCGTGTGTGGATGCTGCAGCTGGCGGATCATGTATAGCCTTTTCTTACAGCGGCTGGAATAATTAAACTTGTCATTTTAGAATGAGTTCTAAGGAACATTAAATTGCTTTTTGAGGTTAAAAGATCAATTTCTTTCGATGACATTGGAATGGTATGACAATTAGAGATTGGACTGTACAGAAATTTAAATCTACAGATAACGTCAATACACACTATATACACATAGTCACGCAATGTTGATGTTGTTAACATTAACAATTTGAAAACAAAGTGTCATAATAATAATTTGCATGGTTTGACATGAGCTAAATGATCGTTAGATTTAATCACCATTGGTAACGCGATTTGTTGTAAAACTTTTTTTATTTTTTTTCACTTGTTCAGAACAAAACTGGCAGACATGTTACTTACTTTTTCAGATAACATTTTCGGGTGAAAGTTCTTAATTTGGACATACTTCCGAGACACAGAATCTGTAATTCTGCAATACAGTGAATATCCGCACTAGTGCGTTGACTGAGGCCCACACATACTCCTCAAAACATTAGATTCATCCGCGCTGAGGAGCCGTGCCGATGCACAACCCACGTAATGAAAATCATTCCGCAAATAACTGCAATTGCAGGTTTCAAACAGAGATTGCGACAAAGAGGCAAAACTTACGGACTGCAGCTTTAAATATACCGAAGTATATGTCTCTGAATATCATTAATGACTAGTTTAATGACGTTGCAACAAAAACATCTTAATACAGTAAAAGCATTTGTTAATATGGTACTCTATATGTTATTATAGACAATTATTGTATCTACATTTTTATTTTCAGTAATAACAGGGTGTCCTGCATCTCTATAACCAAAAAGTGGTCTTTGACATGGAAATGCAGTTACATGTGCACACAGTTACAAACTCGTGTCCTCTAATGAACTCATCTAAACACGTCAGCTAAGCACACCAACGGCTGTAGGAGTGGAGGCATCCTCCAGATTACAGACAGATACTATTACTCATGGTGCTTTTGAACTAAAGGAGCTCAGGATTCAGCAAATGGCCCACTGTCCCGTCTTGATGTTCAAAACCGTAATCCTTTAATTCATACCTCTCAATGATACAGAACAGTATCCTCCCTTAGTTGTAACATCTAAGAAGGCATTGCAGCTGTACAAACGCATACACAAATTGACATCACAGCTGCATTTCCTAATAAGACTTTTGTCCACTAGGGGCTAAATTGGTGTTCACTGCTTCAAACGAACTGCACTCCAGAGACAAAGACAGCTTGAGGAAGCTCTCGGAAATAGAGACAGACAGTCACCTCAGGCAAAGCAAATATGCGTTTCCTTTCGACTGGCATGTTTACTCTAGTTACAATTATGAAAGTAGCCAAAACTACGACTTATGTCAGTAGGGATTTAACAAGCTTGATAAGATAATGGTGTCCTGAAGTCAAACACACATGATCATTGGAGAATGAATAACATCTGCAAGGGAGGTGAGAATGAGTGGTAAGGTCATCTGTATCGTGATCGCTCCAAGCGTCTCTCATGTTAGGTTGAGTGAGAACATCAACGGCACAGCAGTAAACATGCTAATGTACTCGTGTTCGCAGCTTGAAGTCTGTTGGGTCATAGATACAGATTGATTTTAAACCTAATACATAAGGGCTACGTGAAAAGCTTAATGCAGGTAGATTTTTATGTGTAGAAATGTTTTTTTTTTATGTTAATAAGCTTGCACTATGAATAATATTTTTAAGAGAGTAATTATACTTTGACAATAGTTATTACTACAGGCCTTTGTCAGAAAATATTGGTATGTGCGATTTAACAGCATTTTGCCTGATTCTACAATACATTTTGCCTGATATTTAAACTATATATTAACTCTAATGTTAGTTAACAATTAGTTAACATTTACTAATACATTATTAAAGTTGTATATTTTAGTATTATTGGTAACACTTTACATTAAGGTTCCATTAGTTAATGTTAGTTAATGTATTAAGAGGCGGACAGAAGTGAAGTATTTGTACTCTGCTGTAAAAGTACTTTTCAGATGTCTGTACTTTATCAGAGTGTTTTTCTTTAGAAAACTTTACTTCACAACATTCCAAAGCATAATATTGTACTTTTTACTGCACTACGTTTCATATTAAATATAATTTAATACTTAATTACATTAGAAATCTATTACTTTCTTACTTTTACTCAAGTAAAAGTAATTCAAAGATTTACTTGAGTACAAGAAAGTACTAAATTTTTAATGTTCTTGAGTATTAAAGGTAAAACCAACAACAACTTTTATTTATGAAATGAAGTGCAGTAAAAAGTATGACATTATGTTTTGGAATGTAGTGAAGTAAAGTTTTCCAAAGAAAAACACTCTGATAAACTAGAGATTATTTTTAAATTTACTTGAGTAAAGTAAAAATACTTCACTACTGTCCGCCTCTATGAACAATACATTTATTACAGTATTTATTCATATTTGTTAATGTTAGTTCATGAAAATACAGTTGTTCATAGTTAGTTCATGTTAATTCACAGTGCATTAACTAATGTTAACAAGCACAAGCTTTTGATTTTAATAATGCATTAGTAAATGTTGAAATTAACATTAACTAAGATTAATAAATGCTGTAGAAGTATTGTTCATGCTTAGTTCATGTTAACTAATGTAGTTAACTAATGTTAACTAATGAACCTTATTGTAAAGTGTATTATTTAATGAAACCAACCTAACATGGACTAAATATAAACAGTTGTTATAATTGTGTGGTTGTTAACTAACCATTGGTAACAATCATTATTATTATAACAGCCATATTATCAAAGATTAATAAATATTGTAACTGTATTTTTTTTTTAATTAATGTTAGTTAATGCATTAAGTAAAGTTAACTAGTGGGACCTAATCATAAAGTGTAATTTAATTTACGGGCTGTATTTAATGTCATTTGACAGAAAAACCATTACGCCTATGGAGAGTCCCCACAAGGATAGCTGACCAGACGTGTGTGTGTGTGTGTGTGTGTGTGTGTGTGTGTGTGTGCGGTATTTGATTCTATAAATATATTTCCACATATTTTTTTATTTACTTTTACCGTTATCTAGCACAAAATTAAATGGATAATATGAAGATGTAACGTTTTTCCCTTTAAAGTTTATTTCTTGAAAAGAAGTACAGCACACTATACGTTACATTTGCAAATTATTATTTATGTATTAACTGTATTCACTCTATTACTTTTCCAGGACTTGTTTTAAAGTATTAAAATAGTAAGCTTATTTTATAAAGCAGATTTCAGATCGTGTACATTTATAATGATGTGATGCCTAAATTCACTTGTAGCATAATAATGTAATTTAATTTAATTTAATTTAATTTTTATACAAAGCAGTACAGATTTTTTATATCAGCCATTTATTGATTATTAATCATAACATTACAATAGTTACTGGTTTATTTGAATAAGCGTCTTAATTTTCTTGTGTTTATTAAACTAATTTAAAGTCTAAGTCTAAATCAGGTGCTTTTTAGCGAAGTGGTTCTCATCTTGTTTTTATTTATCTAGGGACCTAATCAAGAAGTTTCTGGTGATTGATCGGACAAGAAGGCTTGGAAACATGAAGGTAAGCAGGATTGTGGTGACAGATATTTTATGTGGTTCTTGTATGCTGAGCAAAGTAATTCAACAGGAATCAGCATCTGGGATATTTCCTTTGAGAACGCTGTATTGATAATAAGCTTTTTGTCCATATGGACTCTTTATAGTCATCTCAAATTCAAAGCCAGGTTGAAAATCTATGAATCATCTAACAAAATAAACTCTGTTTCTAGGCCAGTTTGCATCTTAATAAAGCTGCACGTGGCAAATAATAAGATCTTGATTGAGTCCTGCGAGATCTTTCTCCCAAAGGCCACAGTTGGCCACATATGTTTCCAGTTATGATAAGAAAGTTTCCTATCTGCCCAGAGGGGATGAGATGAGGCTCTGGAGAAACTCCCTGGACATTCCCTGGAGTGATTCTGACACCGGGCAACTCTCCCACTGTACCTCCTTCCAACCCCCATCAGACGAGGTGGATAATGGGGAAAGAACTACAGACAGAGTCCTTATGTGAAATGTTTCTGCATCTCTAGCTATAGTCATTCACAGTTACGGTTTAATGGCAGTTACTTTTCTGAATTGTCCTTTCAGAGGAAATAATTCAGTAACTGGCGCCAGATGAGATGGCAGCAGTGCGCCAGGCATGTCATGTGTAATGTGATGCATATTGTGTCGGTGATGTCATGGGAAGTTTGTGAATGGTTCGTCAATTTCCCGTTAATGCTACAATTAGAATTCTCCACACGTGAGGAATGAGCTAATTTCCTTTTTGTCATCAAAGCAGATCCAGAGTAAGAGATAAAGAATGAAAACCTGAAATGTCACTTTTGGTGGACTTCCAAAGCTAGATGTTTCTGTTTTTAATTTAGCACTTTTGTTCTTTTGCTTTTTCTCCTCTGACTAAATGCAATGAGAGTTTAAGACCCGGCAGCCCAGTCACAGCTGTGTTTGCACTGTTTCCACAGCAAGGCCAGGTCCTGCTGGCAGCGCTCATTCACAAGTGCTGATATCTGTTATTCCACTTGTGTGAATGTGTATCTGGCATGGTCCCACAGAGCAATGCATGGCCCAAATTCTGAGGTTTCTAGAAGACTTCAGGAGGTTAGCATTGTTGCCCCACTTTTCTTTTCCCTCTCTAAGAAACTAAAAAGACAGTACAGTGTCTGAAAAGACTGTTTGGGGTCAAATAAGATGCGTCTTACAAGGTTAAGTCTAAAAGCGTTGATAGACTTTTTAGGTTTTTATGCTTACAGTTTTAACTGTGGTAGTTTGTGTAAGTGTAAGACATTATTCTACTTTAAAGGGTTAGTTCACCCAAAAATGAAAATTCTGTCATTAATTACAAGTCCTTCGTTCATCTTCGGAACACAAATTAAGATATTTTTGATGGAATCTGAGAGCCGTCTGACCCTGCATAGACAGCAATACAACTGAAATGTTCCCAAGTCCAGAGACATAGCAAGGAGATCGGTAAAATAATCCAATGGGTCATCAGGGGTTCAACCGTAATTTTACGAAGCTACGAGAATACGTTTTGTGCGAAAAAAAAACCAAAAAAAAAAACACTTTATTCAACAATTCGTCTCCTCCGCATCACCCTGGTGCCATTTTGGAGAATATCCGCTGGACGTAAACAACGTATGCTGTTCTGTGTCAGCTGCGTCACACGGATACGCTGTTTTCGTTCAGATCAAATCACAACAACGTAGGAAACAGATCCGGCGTGACACAGCTGACACAGAACAGCAAACGCCGTTTACGTTCAGTGGATATTCTCCAAAATGGCGCTACAGGGTGATGCGGAGGAGACGAATTGTTGAATAAAGTGTTTTTTTTTTTGGTTTTTTTTTCGCACAAAACGTATTCTCGTAGCTTCTTAAAATTACAGTTGAACCCCTGATGTCACATGGATTATTTTACCGATCTCCTTGCTACGTCTCTGGATTTAGGAACATTTCAGCTGCGTTCCTGTCTATGCAGACAGCTCTCAGATTCCATCAAAAATATCTTAATTTGTGTTCCGAAGATGAACGAAGGTCTTACGGGTTTGAAACGACACGAGGGTGAGTAATTAATGACAGAATTTCATTTTTGGGTGAACTAACCCTTTAATGTTCGTTTAGTTACAGTAACCTATCATAATCTTGTGTATTATTTTTGTCTTATTCCAGAATGGAGCTGATGATGTGAAGAAGCACAGATGGTTTAAGTCAGTAGACTGGGATTCTGTGCCCTGTAGAAAACTCAAGGTAAAAGCACCACAGCTCCGTCGTATAGAGCTTTAGAATATGTCCTGTTATTAAAGATTTACACCACTATTCATTTTTGTAAGATGTCCAAGTCATTACTGGCCACATAACAGTGCCAACGCCTCATTAAAAAGTGGTCCTCTTTTACTTTATTCAATGTTAGAATTATACAGCCAGAATATTTCCCATGGTTTACCGGACATATTGCAGTTTCCCAGAAATACTTGGTAGTGCATAGTGGAAAGTGTACACGGCCATTCAGTTTGGGCTCGGTCGATTAAAAACATAGTTAAAACACTAGCATTGTGAAATAATATTATATAATAGCTGTTTGTTGTATTAATATTACAATAGTTATTTAATATAATAAAATATTAATTTAATTACTTAATTTATTCCTGTGATGGCAAAGCTGAATTTTCAGCAGCTATTACTCCAGTCACATGATCCTTCCGAAATCCTTCTAATATGCTAATTTCTTATTATTATAAATGTTGAGGGGAAAAAAACAGTAATACATTTGGAAACTACAATACATTTTTTTTTTTTTTTTTTTTTTTTTTAATGAATGCTGTCACTTTTGATGAGTTTAATGATTAAAATGATTCATTTCTTTTCCAACCGCAAACTTTTGAACAGTAGTGTGCATTTCAGTGTATCTAAAGCCTCTTCAATGACTTTCTCTCATTGCTGTGACAGCCACCCATAGTTCCCAAGGTGTCTCACGAGGGTGACACGTCTAACTTTGACACCTATCCAGAGGATGAGTGGAAGAAGGACACACCAGTGCCAGCTAAGGATTTGGAAATTTTCAAGGACTTCTGAAAGGATATTCTTTTGAATGAATAAAAAGACAGGACTGATGGAAGATAATGATTTAGCTGAAGTTTTAGCCTAACCATTCAGGAGACATTAAAAGATCATAGTTGCGTTATTATTATAGGCATGTCTTGCCTGCTTGTCCCTGAGTCCTGCACACTTGAGAAACGGAAACAGACTTCTTCTGATCCTCATTAATGTCATCATAATCATAGTCAAACGTTTACCAAGGAAACAGTTCATCACTTCAACCTCTTGTAAGATGAGCAACTTGATTCAACACCCTCTGAGTCTCTTATATTATGCAAAAGGAATATTTTTAAATATAATTTTAAATAAGCAATATCAAGGTTCTTTAAGCTGGGTCAAGACAATGTCTTTGCTTATGCCTAAACGTGTATGGTCATGGTTTTGTTTTGACTTTGTACCTTAACAAACTTGCTGAATTAGAGCTTTAAGCCTGACAAATTTTCTTTCTGGTTATCTGAACTTGCTGTGTTGATCCATTCCTCCCACATGGTATTTCTATATAAATTTCGTAACATTAGGCCTGTTTCACACTGCACTAGCTGTGACAATGTGCTTTTATACTGGCAGCATTTCTCCAGTCTATACAAAAAAAAGCATAATAATAAAACAAATAATACACACTATTAATACAAATTAACATTAATTACCAAAATAAATAATGGCAATTAATGTTAAAATGGTCATTCATATTTGAGACTACAAAAATCTATACTCTGAAATGTAATTTACATGTAGCTGTAGGCCATATTTACATCCAAAAAGTCATTAATCTAAACCAGAACCCAAACTCCAAACTGTATCGATAAACTGTCACTTGGATTCAGTCATATTTACTAAACAGAAAGTGCTGCTTGTGTGTGTGTGTGTGTGTGTGTGTGTGTGTGTGTGTGTGTGTGTTCCAGATAGCAGGTAAATAATTCCCTGTAGGGAATTATTTACCTGATTATTTACATAAGAAAATGTAAGCCCATTTCCGTCACAAGAAAAAAATAAATGCTTTGGTAAATCAATTATTACATACAAAGTCATAATTATGAGGGAAAATGCAAATTATGGCAAAAAAAAAATAGAATTATGAGATAAGTCAAGTTACATCTTTTTTGTCATAATAATTAATGTGACATAATTATGTATCTCAGTTTTTAGTTTGATGAGGTACAAAGTTATAATTTGACATTGAATAATTTGACAAAATTATGAAATAAGTTGATTTATCATAGTGTAAAGTTTTTAGTTATTTATTATTACTTAAAAGTCAAAATCATGACTTATAATAATAATTGAAAACTGAGATTAAAACGTCATGACTCAATTTAAACTAGTTTCATATGACAGTTTATCTCATTATATGAGATTTTGGACTTTTTTGTCATTTAAATTTTTTGTCATTTGTATTTTTATATCAATTTCTGCTTGTATGTCATAATTATGACTCATAATTTTGGCTTATCAAATTGACTTTTTATCTCATAATTTCAACTTTCTGTTGTAATTTTATTTATAAAAAAAACTTTTTATTTCAGAATGATGACTTCCGTAAGTAGTAAGTAATAATTTTGACATTTTGTGTCATCATTTTGTTTTCCAAAGCATTATTTTTATATTTATGTAGTGGAAATGGGCTTTGATAGATAAGGGCACCAAAATAAATGCACACAGGATTCGTCTGCAGTGTGAAACAGAATGTGTTTTTGTGTTCTACTGTGCTGCTTTTAATTCTTTTTTTTCTATGTAAACGTGCACTATAGACGTGTTTGATAATTGTGCTGCATCTCACTTATTTATTTTTGTTCATGAGCACCACATTTTTAAGGCAAGTTAAATAAGTTTAAAAATAAGTAAAACTTGAACCCTGCCTTCTTTTCCATTCATCAGTGTTGCAGCTCTGCAGTTATATATTATTGTGAAGCATCTCGAGTTGACCACAAAAGCACGGTTTGTGTGAACGGCCCCAAGAATCCAAAGAGCTTATGAACACATTCCTGTCAAGATGTCAGTCTAAGAATACCAGATGAAGTAGTGGTGCAGTAGCACTTACCTAATCAAACATGACCTCGCAAACCTGTAGGTAACTAATAAATTAGCATTAATGCTTGTATTATGAGATGCCTGTTCAAATACTTTGGCTGTTGTGCTTTATGGTGTTCTATATGTGTTTACTAATCAGTTAAGCGCATAAACGATTAACTAGCCAGGTGTTTTCTAAAGTTGCCTTGCATAGATATGGGGGTGAATTTAGCAAACACAGTTTACATTGCTTTGGAATGCTACTTAATATATGTTTGGCATTTAAAAGCCTTGAATAATGGGAAGAGAACTATGGTGTGAAATGATTTAGAAATATAGCTACTGTGTGTATGTTGAAAACAACTCTTCTGTTTCTGGACTTCCATAGTTTTTCTTAACTGCTTTTGTCTGAAGCAGTAATCTATCATTGTAAAGTCTACTGAATATCATTTATTTGATATCATCTCTTAAAATGACTGTTCTTTTTAAATTGCAAATGCAGTTTTATACTAAGGAAACAAACATGCAGATTTCACATGGACTTGACAGCTGTTACCATCTTCTTTTTTTTTTTTTGGTTGTTTGTTGTTGTTTCCTGTGTGAATAATTTTTGCTGTAATCTCAAATTTTTTGTGTGTTCGTTTTTACACTTGTTTGAGAAAAAAAGGTATTTTATATTGTTTGCAACAGCAAAAACTAAAATGAAGTTCTATGAACTGAAAAATTGTAGGATTTTATACTGGTTTTTAATCACTTTTCTTTTTCTTTCTTTTTTTTTTTTTAAGTTTATCGGTACTATCATTTTATTGCCTTCTGAACATTTATGATGTATTTTAGATGGTACAAGTGCAATGTTACCTGCAACCAAGGTGTTATAAAAAATTTGACAAAAATCTGCAAATTCTGTCCATGAAAATAAACTGAACTTTTCATGTGGGCAAAACTATTTGACTAAGAGACCTCATGCCTGTTATAACATTTCAGTGTACTCTGACCAAACTTGTTGAAGTCTCATTAAGATGAGTTGGACTGTTGGCGCCAAGCCATACGCTCATTCACACCAGCTTCAGGAACCTTTTGAACTACAAGCTTAGTGGAAATTATTAGACCATTTACTGTAAGAGTCTTAATATACTCTTGTTTTCCTATATGCCCACGATTAAGTGCTTGCCACAGTTTCATATGCTAGTATTTCCCTCAGTTAGTCCCTTTATAGTTTATTTTCCTTAAGCATTAATGTAAAATGTATATTAAATGTACGTTAGTAGTTAACTGAACAAATTAGCATCACTCCTTCGCTGCAAAAGCAGATGAATGATCTCATCCATTAAGGTACCTTGAGACTATTGCATTTTTAAGAGGTTATTTCACTCTCTAACCCCTGTTGTTAGACTTCACCCGTAGTGAAATGTTCAAACATAACTTTCTTTCTTCACTCTGCTCCTTGTAAAATCTGACTAGAGTTTTAACATTTTAATGACGTTTAGTCCTGTCAGACACACCACTGGGACAGGCCAATTTTGCTTAATAGTTCCCTTACGGTCTTCTAAATGCCTGTATGAAGGATCTGTCCCCAACTTGATTGGAAATGGTTTTAATGTATGGTATATGTACCCGCCGCACTTTGGCAGTTCTGCGTATTATATTTCCACTCGTGACAGGAAAGCAGAAAAACACTTTACTCTTAGGATGTAAATGACATCTCCATTTAACAATGAGATTATTCATCTTTGTGTGCGCTCATCTGTTTATGTTTGGGTTGCTCAAATCCAACAGATTTTTGATACATCACCTTTTGAATGATGTTTTCTGAAGCTGCGATGTGATAAGTTGCAGCTGCTGTTTTAATTATTGGTACTGTCAATGCAGCTCTTACCGATTACACTTTTTGGCTGAGTCAGTGGAGCTGAATGATGTTCCTTAATCTCCTTTTGTCCCGTATAAGACTGATTTTGATGGTTTATTGCATCAGAGTTGCTTTATTAACAAAAACAAATGTACAGTGTCAGTGCTGCTGTGTTGGAATTAACCCTGATTTGAATTTGCAGCTTGGAGCAAGGAACCTTAAAAGTTGCTGAGTGTGGTGGAGTACTTCTATAAAGAAACAAACCTACCATTACTCCCTCGTTCACCTACATAGCACCTCCTGGAGTAAACAGGTCGCAACACCCCAAAAA